CGCGATCGGATAGCGAACGGCGTCTCCGAGGCGAAGGCCGCGCTCGTCAAAGCCAAAGACGAGTATAAACGGTACTACGATCGGAGACGATCGGACGCTCCGAATATTCAAGTTGGTGATAAGGTGTGGTTAGATGCCTCTGACATCAGAACAACTCGGCCCTCCGAGAAGTTCTCCCACAAGCGCCTCGGACCGTTCAAGGTGCTCGCAGAGGTTAGCAAAGGTGCCTACAAGCTCGACCTCCCCCGCGTTACTCCAAGCTCCACCCCGTCTTCCCCGTTGTTAAACTCGAGCTCGCTCAGGACGACCCCTTCAATGGACGACCCGGCTACGACGAACCGCCCCCCGAACTAGAGGACGGAGTCCCGAATGGGAAGTCGAGGAAATCTTGGATGCCAGGATAAGGTATAAGTGTCTTAACTACTTCGTCAGGTGGAAAGGCTACGATGCTTCGCACGACGACTCGTGGGTTCGGTTCGACCGTGTCTTCGTGCCAGACAAAATTGCGGACTTCTATCGGAGGTACCCAGGTAAACCACGGCACATCGCCTCAGCGACCTTCGACTCCTTGCCCTTCCGAACTATGCGTCGGGACGCCACATTCAAAGGGGGGGGTGATGTCAGGGGAACCCCCGCTTCGGCCTCCTTCGGACCCTCTGAACGCATCCGAGGCACATCCGACCGGCGCCCCCTCGGACGCTCCGACCCACCCCGACCATCGTCCCACGGCCTCCTTCGCCCGCACAATCACCGATCCGTCAAGACCCTCCCAACGATCACCTTGGGACAGAGCCTGCGACGCCGCTCAGGCCTTCTGCGCTCACGTCGGCAGTTACGGACGACCAGTATATAGTTGGCGCCCTAGCAGGCGGACCCTTAGAGTTTCTTCTCTTTGGATCCTCCCCTGCTAGGTCGGTCCCTCCGTGTATTTCCTGTAGTCTTATTCACGCTTTGGATCCTCCCCTGCTAGGCTTTCGTCGGAGTCTCCAGGGTTGCCCTTACAGGAAACAGAAACAAAAATAGTTACTTTTTGCATCCCTTTTAGCTGCAAAAAAAAGTCATACTCTGCTCATGAAAGGTCATCTAAAATATGGCCTTTCTGCATGTCTTTCTGTCTACTAAAAAAAGGTGAACTTTTTGAGCGAATGGAAAGCTCCCTGGAAATTCCCTCTTTCAAACTTCCTTTTTGGGCCACACAAAGAACTCATTTCAATGACGCAGAAAGGTGCACAGAAAGATGTTCTTTCTTTCTGTCTTTTGTTGTTGCACAAAGATGTTCTTTCTTCCTGCAAGAAACTCAAAAGGAAAGTGCTGCTTTTGCTACACCTTTCCAACTCAGCAAAAGATAAACTTTTTGTGAAAACAGAAAGAACAAGGGAAGTAATATACTTATTCATATAAGGCAAGATGTCACACCAAATTCAGCCCTGGGCTGAATTGCACATTAACACAGCCGTGATTCAAAAATGTTTAGGTAGGAAGTCCAATCTGATAACTCAATATATCCTCCAATTTTTCTTTTCAAAACAAGTCTATCTTCCTAGAGTTTTATTTGTTATCTTTCCAAGTCATGAAAATATACATCTTTTTTGTCCACTATTTATCATAAATAAATCCTACTTCAGGGCCCATTTTTGGGCAGAAACCCCAGTATGAAGTAAAATGATTGCTGGTACAGTTTTTTTTTGGTCCGGCAGCGTAAGTATTAGTACACTCATATATAACCTGAACTTATCAATAAGTAAGTACCCGCCTGGCATCAGGGACAGTGGGCCATCCCTGCCGGCGTTCCATGCACTTGAACTCGTGTACGGGCCGGCCGGCCGCTGCCCGGGACCGGGGCACGGCCAAAAAATCTACAGTGATATTGAAAGCGTTGCATAGCAGCGACTCGTGTCGATCGAGTGACCTCGGGGTTCCCGGGCAAGTTCATGCTATATCATACAGGCCCCGCGCGCTTCCGTCTGCGCCATGCTGCTATATCGCGGCGAGCGGTGGCCACTGCCAGTGTATCGTTGGCCGTGCCCCGGTCCCGGGCAGCGGCCGGCCGGCCCGTACACGAGTTCAAGTGCATGGAACGCCGGCAGGGATGGCCCACTGTCCCTGCCAGTGCTGAGCCTGGCAGAGCAGGAGTCGTTGGACATCCGTGCTGAAGCCGACCACGGAAGGTGCCCCCGCGTCGGACTCCGCCAACCGCGGGCGGCGTGCCGGGAAGACCGTAGACGCGGGAACGGCGATCACGGGCGGGAGCGCGGACCGGCGCACCCACTGGGTCTTTTTTTCCACGAAGCCGGCGGGTGGCCTATAGAGCATACCTCAGTACTCGTAGTTATCGCCAACCCCGTGATCGATCAATAAGTGCCCGCATGCCATCGATACGCCGGCAGTAAGCATGCGGCGTGCGGCGTTAACCACTGGCACCACCTAAGCCTGCTTTACAGCAGTGGCGCAGACGGAGGCGCGCGGGCCCACCGACACATCCATCATGATGGCCTGGCACCCCGAGGTCCCTCCATCGAAACGAGTTGCTGCTATACGCCTGAGTAAGCCTCAGTGTTTTGCGCCGCGCTCCTTTCTCTGACGGTTTTGGCCGGTACTGCCAGTGGCACGGGTACTGGGTGACCACTGCAGATGCAACCCGGGCCGTAGCCGCGGTCGTCGGCCAGATAACATATCAAGTAACGGACCGAGGTTGACTGCAGACGCAAACGCGGGATTCGATTCAGAACACGATAGCTAGAGAAAATGATACAGGCGGGTACTAGTAGAGGGACGGGAAGCGGAAGACGACAGCACAGCGATAGCGATAGCGACAGCGAACGGGAGAGCAGAGTAGTAGAAATCCATCGACAGTGTTTTTTTTTCGACAGTGTGGTGCACTTGCACATTGTCGTTTTGGGGTCAGAAGACCATCACGAACGTCGCCTCCCGCGCTTGGGCCGGGGCCGGGCTCGGCGTGTGCCAGTGCTCGACGACCTCGTACTCGACCTCGTCCTCGCTGTCGGGCGCCCAGCCTTCTGCACCGACCACGCATCAGCGCCAGCTTGTTTTCTGACAAAATTCAAAAACGCACCGTGGCACGCCGGGTCGCCGACGCCGACGCCGAACTCGGCCGCGATGCTCGCGCTGATCTGGATCTCTTCCGAGTCGGGCTCCGGTTTCTGTGCAGAGGTCAGGTGTACCCAAAGAAAGAACAAGACGACGCACGACACTGGCATGCGGCCGCGCACAGCGCGCAGGGCTCACCGAGCGGTCGCGCTCGTGCACCGTCCACTCCGCGTCCTCGCCCTCGTCCTCGTCCGCGGGCTCGGCCAGCCACACCGGCGTCGGCGCCGGGTCGATCGCGATCGTGCGGCACTCGGGCCGCGGCAGCTCCCCCGCCGCCGCCCGGGCCGGCGCCGGCGCCGAGGCCGACGACGTCGAAGCGGAGCACGACGGGCGCGACGTCGTAGTACGCGCTGAGCGGGTCGTACGCGTAGCCGGCCGGCGCGCGCGGGTCGCGCACGAGCTTGTGCAGCTCGACGTCCACGCGCGCGCGCGCGTGCGCCGCGGGCGCGAGCAGCCAGCCGGTCGTGCAGCGCCCGCCGAAGTGCGTCGGCGCGGCGCAGCGCCGCAGGAGCGAGACGCGCTGCGTGGCGGGGACGCGCGCGTCCATCACGAAGCGCTCGGTGGGCGGGTGCTCGGGCCGGAGGGCGGGGGGCGTGCAGGTGATGATGCAGAGCGCGGTGAGCGGGGCGGCGCGCTCGGAGGTGACGAGCAGGCGGAAGGCCTGTGCATGCCAGTGGTCAACAAACAAACAAACAAAGGGTACAACGGCGCACCTGTCCTGGGGGGATGTAAGCGGTGGCGGAGACGACGTTGAGCTCGACCTTCTGGGGGCCGACGGGGAGGACGTTGTTGTGCTCGTCGAGGAGGACGGCGTGGACGCGCCCGCCGACGTGCGCGCTGTGCATCGCGAAGACGGCAAAGTCGCGCTCTGTGCCCGTGCTGTTGTGGCTCCTGTTCATGTTGTAGTTGTGGTGGGTGCAATGGCAGCCCCTCCCGCGGCTGCGCTTTATGCCCCCGCGCGCGTTTGGCCCCCGCAATGCGAACACCCGTTTTCGGCGACGCTATCACGACCCGCATTCGGCCGTGGGAGGCGCCGCGGGGGGACCGCGGGGTCTGTAACAAAGGCAGGCGTGGATCCGGCGGAGACCCAGCTGCGCGTTTAATTAACGAACTGACCGTTTGGCTTTCTAGAAGCGCGGCCGCCGATCGCAGATTCGAGTTATCGCTCTGACTCGTCGATATCCTTCGGCCACATTTCTCGCCGCTGCGCTGAAGTGAGCACAGGCACGCAATACCGCCCCGATCGATCGCTTTACCTTTCCCTGTTCGATGGCCAATTCACCCGTGCAGGGGACGCAGTTTCCTTTTCGGGGCGCCTCGGCGCAGCAGGCCCATTATCCATATCGATTTCATTTTTATTTTTGGTGGTCACGGTGGGCTTGGAAGATAATCGATGGAGGAGATCATGATGGCGTGTCGCTGCAGGGTGGATCGTGATTGGCCCGGGGCAGGCCCACGTAAAATGAAAAACGAAGCGTGCGTCTTCAGATCTAGAAGATACAACTTGTATCTTCTAGATCTTCGCCATTGACATCCTTTTGGACCTTGTTTTGGACATCCAATATGCCGCGGCGCCCCGCCGCCTCATGGTAATAATATGCCGCGTCCTGTGCGTCGGTCAGTTTTCCGCGGACTTCGAGCGCAGTCTATTGGCGAACGCACCACCTTAAACCGCTCCTCGTCCCCGTCGACCCTATCCAATCTCGGACACGTACGCGTCTGCGCCGCCGATCTTCCGTGTATGCCAGTGGCCGTCGTGGCGATAGTGGTGGTTGGGGAACGACGTGTGACCGGCGTCGGCGCCCTATGATGATGATGACGTGGTATCACGCTGCCACGTGCTTGCCTCAAAACTTGCTCAAAACTGTCATCAGCGCCCCCCGAACATAACAATGTCAGCGCAGTCGCCTCCCGAGCCGCCGGCCCGGGTTGCGTCTCCGCCGCGCTCCTACCCAGTCCTCACGCTGCCCGCCGAGATAACCGGGCACATCTTCCACCACTACCTCCCGGAATACCCCGCGGCGCCTCCCCCCGCGGGCCGCGGCTCCCCGACGCTGCTGAGCCACGTGTGCCGCGCCTGGCGGGCCCTCGCGCTGTCGACGTGCGCTCTGTGGCGCGCGATACCGCTGCCGAGAGACCGGAAGGCGGGGTGGATGCCCGCGTGGCTGGCGCGCTCCGATCTCGTGTGGGACTTCGTCTGGGTGGACGTCATGCGCGAGCACGCGCGCCTGGACGTCCTGAGCTGCGCGGTCGGCGGGTTCCAGCTCGAAGACGGGCCCGCGTGGCCGGTGCTCCGGCACCTCGAGCTGCGCATCGTTGCGGACAGTCCCGAAGACATGGCCGCGTCCCCGAGTATCGACGCCTCATCTCCTCGTATCAATGCGCCACTCCTGAGCTCAGCTATCCTCTGGAGCTTCCGGTACTCACCGCGGCTCCTTCCATGGCACCAATTGATGTTCATCGCCTTGATCGGCCAGGACCCACATCGATGCACGCAGGTCATTCAGCAAACCCCCAATCTCGTTTATTGTGAACTGTCATCGAGCCTTTCAGTGTCCGATGTTGCGCAACCCGATATCAGCCTGCCGCACCTACAGCGGCTCATCTTGACCGTCTATGGCGCGGTGTCATCTGGTGGCGCGCCGTCCGTCAATTACCTCCACTCTTTCGTTGTCCCGGCTCTGCGACGCTTGACAGTGGACGAAGCCCTCCTCCGAGTCGGCTCCGGCAGCCGAGCCGGTCAAATCAACGCCCTCGTCGACAAATCGGGATGCACGCTCGATGAGCTGTGCATCATCGACCGCCGGGAAGACGGTGCATCACTGGAACTTGAAGACGGCCCTTGGTCCGAATCTATCCGGCACGTCTCGCTGGATCTGGACCGCACGACTCACAACTGGAACCACGCGAACAAGGCTGGCGGTGAGATCGCGGACGTGGCACGGAGGGCTATTTATGGCCACCTGAGGCTATCATGATCGTCGAACTTGTAGCCACCTTGGCTGATGCTCGCAAAAGGCTGGACATCGACTTGCGTGATCTTTCTATGTGCTTTCTACTATAGACTTTCCGATTTTCTTTTCTCGCCGCACTTCAAGTTGTCACTTGTTGCCGACAACTTGGAGACCACAAGGACAGGCCGTCACGGTGGAGGTAACTCGTGCGTTGGCGTTGGCGTTGGCTGGGCTTACACTTTGAGACCATATATTCTGTTAAAATTCTTACATTTTTTATGTTTTGCACGATTTTCATTTTCTGTAGCGCAACTAGGGTCGGCGCAAGCGCCGAAGACTGAGACCTTGCTTTCCCCTTTAGCATCAGCCATCTAGTACTGTAGTATTTCAATCAATTCTGCAGCCCTGTGACCTGTGACACATGTGGCAGAAATGTGCAATTCAGCCAAGGGCAAAATTTGGTGTGACCTCCTGCCTTATATGGCAGTTCTGCGCGCCGGAGGCGCGGAAAAATTTGGAAATTACCATTTTGGGATGGTTTGGGACCAAACATATCTGCTGTGACCTGTGACAGGCAGAAAAATTTCGGCCAAAAATCTCAATGTGACCGTGACATGATTAATTGATCGAAATACTACAGTATATGAAAACATCTTGCCACAGGTGAGGGTGCTGCAATTAATTTTCACCCATGCCAGGCATGGACATTTAAGCTTATATACTTGTAAAGCTGCAATATGTATCATGGGAAAACCATCAGCAGCTATCTTCTTTCTGTGTACTACAGGTGTTGGCACTTGTCAATACACTTGGGTCTTGGAATGACATTGATTTTTTGACTGTCAGGCTTTTGCATGTTTGGCCCCCTTGGGCCTTCACTACTAAATCACAATCAACAGAAATATGGTTCATCCTATCTATTGACACTTCATCACCAGACCTGACCCTACACATCAATTGGTCCTCACAGTATATTGGCTGTGTCACGCACATGCACATCAAACACACTACACCAATGACTATCTCACACTTGAGGCCTGGGCTCTTCTCTATCCAACATTGCAGTCTGTCACCTAGTAGCGCCTGGCCCGCAAGGGATGTACGATCGTCCCCTCTGCGGCCAGGAATGGGGGCGAGGGGGAGCAGGAGAGGCCGGGGTGTCCGATCACCCCTTTGCAGGCCCGCACATATAAGCGTGTGATAGCATACCAGATAATCTATTGCTTAGATCGTCTGAAGAACTACTTCTCTCCGTGCAAGGAGGAACCACCAACTCATCGGGCCCAACATGACCCGATTTGAACCTTCGTCTACCGACAGCGACAAGGGATCGAGTTAACGAGCCCTTTTTGGTTTTGATCTACCCTGCTCGCCCTACTTGTAGGCCCGACGATCTGTCTGCTCTGTTCTGGGTGTTCGTTCTTAGGAGAAGACCTTGCATGGCCCGACCCACAGTCTGACAACGCTAGCGCCAGAGCGGACAGGCCAGGTCTTATCCGTGACACCTACTCACCAATGAAACATTGACTTAGCACCAGTGTGCAGACAGCTTTGATGGGACCAGCAAATGGACAACTTACCAGCTACACATCGACCTCGGCTGTCATCTGAGCAGATGATGTGACAAAGTTACATCATGCAGGTCACTGGCCAGGCCTGGCTGGAGGTCAGCACGCCGCACAGGTTAGTTTACGGCACTGAGCTCAATCTGGAGTTACTAGTAATTGCTGGGTGGTAGGTCATTTATGGTCACAATTGAGGCAGGAAAGAACACTGACCAGTGATTTTGGGGTAATCTGATCACATGTCTGACGGCCGTAATGTCAACAGCCCTGACCATAGCATGCCTGTAAGGGCAACCCGGAGGCCTGAGATCAAGGTCCTAGCAGGGGAGGATCCAAAGAGAAGAAACTCTAAGGGTCCGCCTGCTATAAAGCTGACTATATACTGTACCATTATATTCAGTTCGCCAGTCACAGGTCACAGGCCTGTAAATTGGCAATTTTTTTCGCCATGGTCACAGGTCACCGAGTGGATTGGCGAGCACCCAAAACGTCACAGTTTTTGTCAAATTTTGGCCCAAAAAAGCCATTTTCGCCTCCGCCGTGAATAGATTTGATTCCGCGGCGATCCGTTCCCTGACAGGCTGTCATTCCCATGTACACATTTTCTATCACTACCACCACCTTCGTCGACGCTCCAAGGAGTTGTGGGGCTACTACGGTACGCTGGCTACCTACTCTTCATCTGACAAATCCTCATCAAAGTCGTTCGCGTGCCGCCAGAAAAGCTTTGACGCGTATCTGGTACTGGTCAGCCTCACACGCTTTCCACGGCCGAGCTTCTCCTCCCCTTCTTCCCCGACATCTTCTTCGACATCAACCACGACATGCAGCTCTGCATCAAGATCTTCCGCGTGGTTAACCGACGCAAGCCCCACCACCATCTGCCTTAGCTCGTACCCGGCGGCCGCCTTTTGTCTTCCGACTAACAACATGGTCAACAACCTCGCGCGTTGGAATCTCCGAGTCATCCACCCCCATCTCTTCGTCATCATATGGAGCCGAATCCTCCTCGACTTTCTCGCCAGCTTTGGGACGGAAATCATGCGTGGATTTGGTGCGAAGGTCATTCCAAAGCTGAGGGTTAGTTTTGTCGAGGTTGCAAAGGCGTTCGCGGGTCTCAAAAGATGTTAGACAGTCGTAGGAGAGGTTGGAGCCACGGATTGTGCACATAGCCCAAGCCTATGCTGCGTTAGCATGGTATCTTAAGGCTGTTGGTGTGTTATACCTTCGTCACCAATTCCTTGCACTGAATTGCCTGAAAACCCTTCCAGATCCACATAACACTGGCATTACGTAGAGTGCCAATCGTCTTGTCGACGTCCATGACCTTCCCTTTTTCCCGCTTCTCTAGCAGTGACTCGACTAGCCATTCATGGTACGCCAATTTCACTGCATGCTTGAATGGTCGGTTGATACCCACGTCTAGCGGTTGTCCAACGCCAGTGCATCCACCAGGAACGAAGTCGACAAGGATATTAGGATGATTGGTGCGCATATAGTCCATGAACTCGGCAGAGCGATGAACTGACCAGACATCGATTAGCCAGAGCGATTTCTGGGCATCAGGAAGCTTTTTCGCGGCCTTTGTCGCAGTAATATATGGCACCAGTATGTCCTCCACAAATTCACGCATCGTCTTCTGACTTGACCAATGGTTTCCATATTTTCCAGATGGAACGAAACGGAAGCCAGCTGCGTCACAGTCCCGTCGATGCGGAGCACTGTTGGATGGTGTAACAGTGTCGGAGGATCCTCCGTACACGCATTGAATACCGAGCACGCCGCCCGCAGCGGTGACTGATATCAGCGCCGTGAAGGCGCGCTTTTCCTCATTCCCAACTACGGCAACTTGCTTCGAGCCTGTCGATGCATAGGTCATTCGCGAGCCTGGCATGAAGATGACGCCTGTCTGGTCAGAGTTGACTATCAACTCGGCAGGGATGTCGTATTCCTTGATTGTGTAGGCGCGACGGAGGAAAGCTGTATCGCATTGGTCTTCCCAGTTGACAGGTAATTTCTGCGCTGCCTTCGTACCCTTCCGAATTGACCAATTTAGTTGTTGATGGAGGTATTTGCGACAAAACTCGTCTGAGGCACGAAAGTTGGAGCCATCTTTGAATCGCTGTTCGAAGAGCTCGGGCCTTCGAAGCTTGATGACAGCGATGATGATGCAGCGAACAGATGTGAGAGAGAGTGGTGCACCAACGGTACGAAGCGCTTCAAGCTGTTCATTGATTTCCTCGACGATTTCCGGGTAAGGCGCCTATGCTTTATCAGCAACGTTTTATGATCAGCCACTGACACTTACCAGGATTCCACGACGACCGCCTTTATTATGACCAGGCTCTGCCTCTGCTGCTCGCTTAAGCACTGCATCTGACCAACCATAACCCCACGTCGTCTCTACAATCCATCCCGCAACCGTGTTTGGCTTCAAATACTGGAAAAAATCGCAATCTCGTGCCTGTAGCTCCTTGCATATTGCAGTTGGACTCCACAAAACAATTTTCCGTTGGGCGGCTGTGATTGCTGACCATGCGAAGGGTGTTTGCCAGAAGATATTCTGTGCTCGTCGCTCCGGCTTCTTCTTTTTGGCACCTGTAGGCTTGCGATTCTTCTCTTTGATCTTTTTGCTGATTTTTCGTCCAGGCCGCGAAGCCTCAGCAACGTCACTACGCGATGGACCAGTAACGTCTTTCAGATTTGGCTCGAGCTGCGATTCGGATCGGTAAGGGAGTATACACTGCCCAAAGAAGATACTAACTTTTCTTTGCTTTTTTCCAGGGTTAAGAAGCTCTTCTTTCGCTCGTCGCTTTGCTCGCGAACGCTGCTTGCGCTCATTCTGTCGGGCTTTCCTCTCCGCATCCGCATCCGCCTTCTTCCACCGAGCTACCTTGGCCTGTTCCTCAGCCTGCTCTTTCCGTTCCTCGGCCTGCTTGGCAGAAACATCCTGCTTTTCTTTCAACGTCAACACCTTCAATTCACCCCATCCAGGCATCCGAAACAGCGGAGCAATGGCCTTTCCCGCAGCAAGTGCCTTCTGCGTTGCTGTCTGTGCTTTCTCTTTGACCCGCTTCTTCAATGGACTTTTACTCGGTGTGTCTGTCGCTCGTTGTGAATGAGAGTGTTTTCCCGTCTGGCTTGGTGGTGTGACAGGCTGCTCGAAGGACTGTCGTGGGCTGGTTGGAGTTGGCGATGGACTGGGAGATGAGATAAGGCAATGATTTGCTGGACGGGATGGCAGAGGACAAATGAGGTGTGGCGATGGGGATGAGGGACGACCAGAACAGTTGCTTTCACTTTCACTTTCACTTTCACTTTCACTTTCACTTTCACTTTCACTTTCACTTTCACTTTCGCTTTTGCTTTTGCTTTTGCTTTCGTCTTTGCTTTCGCCTTCGCCGTTGTTGTCGCTTTCATGTTTGCCGCCATCTCCAATCTGACTGAACGACAGATTTG